GGGTGATTTTGTCAATGCCAATGATCCTCCTCCTCAGAGCACGCAAGCCCCACAACCATGTCAAGGTAGTGCCTCACTGAGGGATTAATGTTGGTTGCACAGTGAGCCAGATGTTTAGACTGTTTTCAACTATAAGTTCCCATCAATTTTTTATTACTGGCACATGATAATTGTTACAGATGTTCCAGTGAATCATTTTGGCAACTGTGTTATGTCATTGTTTATAATCAGTTTGTGTGATCTTCTTGCATGAGCCAAGTATACGATCTACTGTTTCTCCTGTTCCTTTGCACAATCTGCACTTTGAATCATTTGATGATTTTTCAATTCTGGCCTTGATTGCATTAGTTCGAATAGCTCACTCTCGAGCAGTCAAAATCAATCTTCCGTTTCCTTTCTAACGGTCCAGTTGTAAGCCATTGCCTGGTTTTACCTTTATCTACTTTACCCTCCATTTTTTGTAGAAAATGACCGTGTAATACTTTTCCTTGCCAGCATTCTGTTTGTGTTTTTATTACATTATTTTGATATTCACATTTTGTTTCTTGTGTATTCAGTAAGTTCCAAATTTTAACTTGCATCAGTGCTTATTCTTGGCTATCTTTTATATAATAAGCCAATGCATGCTTTTCTTCTTTGACAGTTTGTTTGACTTGAAGTAAACCTCTGCCTCCATTTCTGCAGGGCAGGTATAATCTATCAATATCACTACGAGGATGTAATACATAGTGAATAGTCATCAGTTTTCTTGTTTTTCAGTCCAAACTGTCCAGTTTAGCTTGTGTCCAGTTAATAATTCCAGCAATGTATCGTATAACAGGTATGGCCCAGGTATTGATGGCTTTGATGGTGTTTCCACCATTCAATTTTGTCTTTAACAATTTTCTCACTCTTTGGATGTATTCTCTACTAATCACATTTTTATTTTGACCATGCTTGATGTTATCTAATGTCAAGATACTTGTAGGCTTCATCCTGACGGCTCCTGATGGTTTGGCCATTCAGCATTTCAATTCCATTAATGTTCATGATGTTACCCCAATTTATTGCTACTATAGCACATTTCTCTAGGCCAAATTCCACTGCTATATCTGTGCCAAAAATTCTTACAGTATTTTTCAATGACTGGATTTTGATTTCTGATTTTCCATAAAGCTTCAGATCATCCATATACAGCAAATGTGAGATTTTATTAGCATTTTTTGCTGAGAGCCAAGATTTGTTTTCTTCAAAATCCCTGAAAGTGGGATCATAGCAATGACAAATAATAAGGGTGATGTTGTTGTCCTTGTTATTATTATTTAGCCTTAAGCTAATGATTTTAAAATTCTAAATACGTTATATCAAAATCTGAAATTCATTTTAAAACTTAAAAAATTCTTAAACACCAATAAAATAGTGGGTGCTGATTAATTCTGTACCTGTTTTCTATTTAAATACTATATCCAATACTATATCTGAATAGGCTGGGAAAAGAATATTCTGTTGCATGCAGTCTTAAAGCCCATCCTTGTTGTAAATAAAAAACAACTGCAATTCTATATAAATCTATACTGACCAGGAAATAAGACAAGTATATGTAATGTTCTCCTGGTGGTTTAATATATTTATGTATAAATGTGAAAGGAACATTTATGATGATGCTAGAGGTATGTTCATTGATGACATGTTGCTGGCTGAGAACCTGCATAATTTGGCTGAGAACCTACAGGTAGTCCTTGACATATGACCACAACTGGAACCAGAACTTCCGTTGCTAAGCAATGAGATCATTAAGTGAGTTGCGCCCAATTTTACAACCTTTTTGCCACAGTTGTTAAGCAAATCACATGGTCATTAGGCGAATGCAGCTTTCCCCATTGAGTTTGCTTGTTGGACTTGTTTGCTTCCCCCTGGGAAGGTTGCAAATGGTGATCACATGACCCCAAGACGCTGCAACTGTCATAAATATATGCTGGTTGCCAAGCACCTGAATTTTGATCATCTGACCACGGGGATGCTGCGATGGTTGTAAGCGTGAGGACCAGTTGTAAGTCACTTTTTTCAACGCTGTTGTAACCTCAAATGGTCATTAAATGAATGGTTGTAAGTCAAGGACTACCTGTACATGAAAAGGAATATGGTATGTAGGCCATACCCATACATGCCCATGGTATGTAGGCATGTATGTTTGTAGCAATTAATAATAAAAGAACCTTAATATTGTTTAATATCACAAGTTTGGCCATTATTATTCATAATTCAAAAGGTGAATACTCCAGAAATATTGATTCAATTTTCCTGGGTCTAAGATTATGACAGTCCTTATGCACCTCTGACAAATCAACTCTGTCTGGAATGAAAGGGAAAAAGTGATTTCTGATCCTCTAAGGTAAGACAACAGCGGAAAACAATATTGTGTTGTGTCAGGAAATGCCTGAAGTTTAGCGAGGTGAACAACAACTTCTCAGTCTCCAACAACACTGGAGAATGATCATATAAGCAGCAGTGTAGCCTACATTCTGAGTGTATGGACATGTGCTTTGTGGATCAGTAACTGTAAGGATGTATCTATTTTCATATAAATCATTTTTACCACCTTTCTTCAAAATAGATTTCAGGACATGGTTTAAGGTTAAAAAAAGATGCAACATTATGAACTTTCTATGGACTGAGAAACCTTTTATAAAAAATGAAGGAATTAAACAGTACAGAGTATTAAGCAGAGCTCACAATTACATTTTTAGCATGTTTTTCACCAATCTTTGTCTTTAAAATGGAAATTAAACAAACCACAATAGAGACTTCAAAATGACAAATAGATAAACAATACATATAGCCAGTATCACAAGCATTTCCAGAATACAAAGGAGATATAAAATTCATGAATTCTAATACCCTTTTGCTGCAGGTGAGAAGTTTGAAGATGTGCCCAATGTCTTAAGTCTCTTAAACATACAGAACAAGGCTTCATATGATCTTGTTTCTCAGCCTACCTATTCCTTTTGCTTTAACAGAAAGCTGAAAATCAGCTGCATATTTTGCAAGGGATTGCATTTCTGATCTCACAGAACATAAAACTAACTTAATCTCACATCTGATAGGAAAATTCTCCTTTTTCTGCCAGATAAAATATCTATTTTCCTGTGGAGTCCTTGGTGCTCTCTGAGATAGATTGTTTGCAGACGTTTCATTACCCGACTAGGTAACATCATCAGTGCATCAGTGAACTGATGTTACCTAGTTGGGTAATGAAATGACTGCAAACAAACAAACAACCAAGGAGCACCAAGGACTCCACAGTTCAAGCCTGAGCTACATATATTCTCTTCTATTCATATTTTTCCCTCTATGTCATTCCTTTTTCTGCAGAACCAAGAATGAGGTTATAATGCATTTGTTAAAAATTAGTGGTCCAAAGGCCATGTGGAAACTTAGTAACTCTTCCTTCATTAACATACCCATTTTATAGATTGCGGCCACTGGGAAATGAAGTTCAACTCAACTAGAAGCCTCCAACACTCAAAACTATTAAAAGATTCAAACGTTCCATATATGGTCTGAATTAAGTGAATATAAGAACACAAGTCTT